TTATCAATAACGTTGAAAAAGTTGTGGCAAACGCCCCTCATTAAACTTAATTTCAATATCTTTTCAAACAGATATGATTTTGTATTGGAGCACGAAAGAATTTGTGTATGGTTATCTGTCTGTTTCTTTATCAAGAAAATTATATTATCAAAATTGTTGTCATTGATAAATTATCTGAATACACCACCATCATACGTCCTCAAGGGAAAAATTGAAGGGGGTAATTGAAGAAAATCGAGAGGGGTAAGCAAAATGTGTAAAGTGTATTTTGCAAAAAGTGTACTTTTTTGGCTTTTTTTTTGCTCTTCACTTTTTTGGCCAAAATCCCTAGCAAATTCAAAGAATTCTTTAAAAATGTTCAAGGGGTAACACTTCGTCAGGGGGGGGGGGGGGGTAATCAGACCCCTCGGACCCTGCTGAGGACGTATCACCACCATTGTATTTTATTCATATATAGTTCCAAAAAATGGTCGAACAACTTGGAAAACAAGAATATAATCGTTTATATTTCAGAGTTAAGCAACAGATCGAAAGTGAACAAGAAATTCTCTTCGAAAGGAAAAGTAGTTGTACACAGAAACAAGTACTCGAGTACGCTTACTCGCACTTACGGTGTTAGTAGAGACTTTACCCCTCAAAATAAGTTACGCACTCTATTCTACTCTATTTTTGGTGTTAGTTTCATCGAACGTATGTGACGATACACTTAGCAATCATATTTTTTAGCATATACACAGACTCATATGCACGCAACGAAACATAACTCGTTGAACGCATGCGGTAACGTACAGATGTACTACACATGTATCTCTTTTTTCACTGTGATGCGTTTACTTCGATGAAACTAACACCAAAAATAGAGTTAAATAGAGTGCGTAACTCATTTTGAGGGGTAAAGCCTCTACTAACACCGCAAGTGCGAGTAAGCGTACTCGAATACTTGTTTCTGTGTAAAGTTAAAAAATCGTGAATATAACTAATTTTGAGATTTTGAGATTTTCTATGTGATTTAAAAAAGTTCACTTGATTTGAAAAAATATGCACATTTAAAAAAAAATCGAAAAAATTTAATTTATTAGTCACATAAACGTTTGCGAACAATTATTTCATGTGAAACATAAATTTCTCAAAAAAAATATATTACACTCACAATGTAGTGGAGTAATTGAAGCATAACGGTACCAAATACATAGACAGGTGGTAACTTTGATCATTTCAATGTTTTCCCCTTCTCGTGACACTAAAGCATTTGTAGCATAAAAATGGTGAAACAGTAGGCATTTGGAATTCAAGTGGGACGGGTCACTTTAAAATCATTATGTGTTGCATTGATATTGTTTGTGAAAGTTAATTCAAAGATCCTAAAAACCGCATATAAAAATAGTGTAATTGTTTAACTATAAGGAAAACAGAAACAAGAAGTTCATCGCAAACGAAAATAATGACAACAGTCGACATTGACTCATTACAAACAACAAACTTGATTGAGTTTGATATTGAAGCGAATCGTCGGCGACGAGCTGAGCTAGCAAACGATGTAAACGAGCTGATAAGCATTTCAAAATTCTTTTTGCAACATTATTCATCAGCAGATGATTTGCTTTCAATGCCGAAAAATATAAAACAACTAACAATAACAAAACGTGAAAAGAACGAAGCAAATGTGAATAAAGCGCGTGCAAGAAGTACCGACCGCATTGTACAAACAAAGAAAAGTCCGGTTGCCAACGCAACGCAGGCACATGTAAAACGTAAACATATGCGTATTAATAATGGACGAGGGACGAGAGCACGCGGTAATGACGATGATGTACCGCCCCTATTCGATAAAATCAAACTGCATCAATATTGTGTGGATGTTGTTGATCGATTTTTTCATGGTCCACCACCAAATGCAAGTGAGACCAGCGATTCACCGAAAACCATAAAGAAAGGACAAACTACAGAGAAATCGATACAAACGGCGAGCAATGCAAATGGAAAGGAAATCGTATTGTCTAAGCCGAAGAAAATTTCAAAGTATGCTACGGTAACATCTCGTTACATGAACTCACCACCACAAAAACCATTGAATAATACAAACAAAAACAATTCACCTTGTCTTGTTTCGGCTAAATCACGCGAAATTTTGGAAGAAGTTGCACGAAAAGGAACCGAAATTAAACGGCATTCTTGTTTAATCCATAAGAAAGAAACCATTATTCCATACCGCGAAATGAATCAATATTTCACTAAACATGATAACAATCGATCTCATCTCAAATTCAGTGATATTCACCCGAATATTGAACTAGTACCATCCAATGCCATCTTTCCCAAAAGAATTCTCAAACATTTAAGCACACCGCGTGAATCTTCCACTGTTCAAGAGAAAATTGACGAAGAGGAAGATCAAAAAGAACCAATTGAAAAAAGTAATCTCAGTGCAGATAGTGAGATTGACGTCATAAATCCGATTGAAGGCAAACAATGCGATGAAATGAAACATTCGATTGAAGGAGTTCAAACCAAATCAGACGAACCTATTCAATCGAAAGGTGAACTCAAATTGCATCAACTTCCGGTGTTATCCATAAGACCACAGACAAAGTGTGAAATTGAAAGTATTTACGAAATTGAAATTAAACCGGACGATGCAAAACCGAGCGAAATTCTTTTTAAAGACAAAAATAAAGTGATTGAATTGGTATATGAGTCTTTGGGACATGAAACTAAGGCAGAAGTCGCTAAAGCCGCCCAGAATTCGAGTCAAAATCAAAATCTACCAAACAAATATTTTACACCAATTACTACTATTGCTGATGAAGGGTGCGCTGCAGAGAGATTATATGATGAAAATGCCACAACTGATGAAACTCACGAGACAAGCCACTTATCATTGAATTTATCAACATCGACACATCTGACTGACGATGAAAAGTCTCAAACCGATAAAAAACTTACGACTAAAAACAGTTTATCAGATTACAAAAGTGTGCCTAAAAGCGTCGCAAGGAGTGTGATTGATAAAATATTGGAAATAGAAGGAACTGCCGAATCAAATGAAGAAAACACTTCAAATCCAGATGAGCCCAAATTGAGTGCAATTGAAACGCAATCAAAAGTTCAACAACGATCAGATAATTTTGATGATTTACGTGAAATTTTACGGAAAATCCGGAGTGATAAAACAACATTGGACGTAGCATTGGACAGTATTGAGCCACTCGATTTTTTGTCAACACCACATACTATGACCGATCGGGAGGTACAGTGTAATGAAATTGATTTAAAGACACCAACAAAACATTCACCCAAAGGAAGCGAATCGGCCATTCAGTCTCCGCATCATATCGATCCAAGTTTATTGGAGTCACCAAATTTCAACAAAACTATCGAAAGTATTCGTTCGTCGGCACGTAAATTAGATTTCAGTGCCATTGGTACTGAATACCGCGCTGCAACTCGTGATCAAATTGAAAAGGCAGCGAAAAAATTCTTGAAATCTATACTGAAAAATGCCGATGAAAACTCGGCACTTAGTACATCGGAACGAGAAAGCAGCTCATATATTGGTTTAAAAGTGGAAAAGCAAAAATATCACATTGTTGATGATCATATCATTCAATCAAATTTCAATGTAAAATCAGATCAAAAATATTGCACATCATCATCATCATCATCAAGCGATGTAACGTCATTACAATTACGATTGCCAAGTGCTCAATTAAAAATTGACCATTCGAAAATCAAATGCAATCAATTGAATGAACCAAGTGATTCGGATTTTACAGAAAACTCAATCGGAAAATATATCAATAGCTACAGACTCAATGAACAACTTACACAACAAAATCAATTGATATCGAATATAAATCACTACAGCGATTTGAGTGATGGTGAAATTTTAAGTGATGGCGAATTCCATATCCCATAATTATAATTACTTACGGAATTATTCAATTTTTTTTCGTCAATTTTTATTCAAATTTTGAGCTTAGATATTACATACCTAATCAAAGATCTCATTTCTCTCAACTGCTTAACTAAATAAAAAAACGATAACGAATTGCTTTAATTTTGTTTTTTTTTCTTTATTATTCATAACTAGAAACAATAAAATGCAATTTCAATTTTCTTACAGAATAGAATATGCCGCAAAAAGGGAGTTGTATGGCGTATCGCCACCGTCAATTCATCTGTAGAATTGAAATATTGAATGGTTTCTCTTTCTATTCTAGGCAAAAAAAATCTCTCATTTTAATACATAAGGCCGCTTAACATTTGGATTTAAAAATGAATGAAAAGCGAATCGTTAAAAAAATCTTTAAAAAAAAACTTAAAAGTCAAAATACTTTCGGTTGACGAATAAATTGTATATTCTCTGGCGTTGTTCTCCTCACAATAATCCAAGAAGTGTCATAACAATGATAATTAAAAAAAAACTCATTATTACTCAATTGTAATCGTTGCAGGCGAAAATGCTAACTTCTATTTTATATTGTTGTTTTATGGCTTTGGTCATGTTTTTTGTTAGAGTTTCTGAGTATTTTGTATTTCAATTTATTCGCTGTACTTCGTGATATCATATGAACGGTCATTGGATTATTTTGTGTTTGTGTGTATGCGTGTATACAAAATGAAATTTAAATCGTACATAAAAATCCAATTGAATAAAATGAAGTGAGTGCTGAGCGCGTCTAAAGCAAATAATATATAAAATTGAAGTAAAACATTAATAAAATTCCAACCAAATGAATGGAGTCATTGACGCTTCTTTTCACACAAACTAATTTATTCCTTATGAATCCGATGGTGGAATGTTTTAAAAATCAAGGAAAAAAAATTATCATTTTCATATATACAATTAATTAGTTGTTTTCGAGAATTTTAAACTAATTCATAAACCTATCTAACTGGAATGACTGTATCAAATAAGTTGCGTCATTATCTTTATTTCATTCATATAATACTTCTTCTAATCGTTCTCGAACAATTTCTATTTCTGTTCTTGTGGTGTCAGACCATAAATAATGGTGCGGTGTTCAATTTGACACCAACTTTGTTTCTTCTTCATCTGTTTCATTTTCAAAAAAATGGAAAATTTTACATTCTGTCAAAATATACAAACTTATCTTCGAAAAAAAAAAGGTTCCGAAGGGTGAGGGAGGGAAGCGGAAGCGTTTTATCATTTATCTAATGTTGTCTTGTGTTGCGCATCAATGGAACAAGCAGTGAAGGTGGTCCGGCTTGTCGTAAAAATGGATGTGTAAGCAATTCGGCGGCTGTTGCACGTACGGCTGGATCTCGAACAAGCATGCGATCGAGAAAACTTTGCAAACGTGGCGATACTTTGTGAACATTTTTCAAATTTGGTGGTTTTGTATCACGAATGCGACGCATCGCTTGAAGTGGTGGCTCATTGAAAAATGGCGGCTCCCCATCTACCATTTCAATAACCTAGGCGAAAATGTTGAAAAAAAAAATGTTAAATGTTAATGCCTGTTTAATATTAAATATTAATTTATATTATCGACTTGAAGTAAAGCAAAATTACCATAATTCCGAGGGACCAAATATCGACTTCGGGTCCATATGGCAATCGACTAATCACTTCCGGCGACATCCAATATGGTGTACCAACAAGTGATTTACGTTTCGGCAACTCTTGCGACACTTGTGCACAAAAACCGAAATCCGACAATTTTACACGACCATCGGCTGCCAGCAATATCGAGTCCGATTTGATGTCACGATGAATTACACCTTGTGAATGAAGATAGGCCAATGCTTTTAAGCATTGTTTACAAACGGTGGCTATTTGCTCTTCATCCATTCGAGAATGAGTTACAATGTCCGTAAGGGCACCACCTTCCAAGTACTCCATGACCACCCACAGTTCATCGTTAACCAAAAAACTGCTATATGTTTCGACTATATTCGGATGATGATAATCACGCATGATGACCACTTCATTAAATAATAATTCACGACGTTGTTGCTTGCGTAAATCCATTTTTTTAACCGCAACTTGACGACCTTTTTCAGTTTATAAAAAAAAAAACAGAAATCAAATAATTCGAAGAGCCATTTATTTAATATAATAATTTTACCGGTTGATTTATATGTTGCAATGCAAACTGTTCCCGTTGACCCTTCCCCGATTTTCATGAAATTCTCCAAATCTTCACGTGGATCACCGGCAGACACAACCATTTGTAGTGCGGCTCGGAACTGTGTAAATTAATCCAATTAGTCATCAAGAAAAAAGATAAATGTAATGATTTTCATACCTGTTCGTGTGTTAATCGCTGTTCTTGTTTCATATTATTGTTGGAATTGTTGTTGCTGGCGGTACCATTGTTGGTGGTACTGTTATTTTGGTTATTTACATTGTTGTTAACAGTGTTTGCATTTTGATTGGGATTTTGATTTTGATTCTGAACATAATTCTGATTCGCTCCAGTACTGGTTCCTCCACTCGAACTAGATGCTCGCGAATGCTGTTGCTGTTGCTGTAGCTGCTGCTGTTGCTGCATTGTCATTTGTGGATTTTGCATTTGATGTTGCAGAGGTGCAGCTGGCTGTGGCTTTTGCTGTACGTATTGAGCGTGCTGATAATTCATCATTTGATGACCGTGATGATGTTGTTGTACTGACCCTTGTGTAATTTGATTTTGTACCGTCGACGGTAACGGAAAATTGGGACGTTGAGCAATATTATTGGGTTGCATGGTGCCCATCGGTGACGTTTGCTGTGGTCTATTTACGAAAATGGAAATTTATCATGAATTGACAATTTAATTGTTATCATATTAAGTCAATAAAATTATTGTTATTTTCAATAAGTAAATGAATGTAAATGTAAATAATAATGAAAGTCATGTAAGAATAACAGTAACAGTTCGAGGTAAGAATGAAAAACTTGTGACAAACAAAATGACAAAGATAAATCAAATAACGATCGGTGCCATAACTTCAAATTGAATGTAATAAATTAATATCGGAAACAAGCATAAAATAAACATTTACTGAACCACAAACTGGTTCCGCAAGACGCTCAAATTAATTTTACTCGTTTGGCAAAATTGATAGGCTTATTTCACATATTGTGCACACCAAATACAAGTCAATCACCTATCTCTGTCTCTCTTTCGCTGTCTTATTATTAGTTTTGTTCAGTTTTTTGTTGTTGTATCAACGTTCCTATTTTGGCTCATTGAATAAGCACAAAGCGTGCGTTCAAAGTCGAGAAAAAAGCAAATTCTTTTCGCTACCTTCTTCAGAAAACTATTTCATTTAATTAAATTGAATTTATGTACTGTAGGTGACATTATCTCTCTGCATCATGTACGAAAATGAATGAAGAAAAAAAACTGTCAAAATACCAAGAAAAGGAACACCGTTGTATTTCGACAACGAACTATATACGATGAGAAAATGAAGAGATGTTGTTGTTGTTGCTTCCAAATCAACCGTTTTTGGGTTTGTGTATGATTCATAAAGAGTAGTAGCGACGGCTCTTTTGTTGAAATTTTTGTTGTTTGCCGGTCCCCATTCGAATTGTGAAATAATAATAAGTAACCGTGAAAAAAGAACGAGCAAATCACGATTCTGACAGCCCAACCGAAAAATCATCAACCATGTCGTTGTCGTTGTCGTCGTCGTCGTCAGTTGATGCCAATGCAATTATTCTAATTTGGGAGACGGACCACAACTAAAAAAGAGGCACATCAACATTGAACAAAAAGAAACAAGAAAAAATGACAACAACAACATACGCAAAATGTTGAATTGTAGATGTGATAATCTGAAGACTGCGTGTTTGCTCACAAGAACGACAATCAAAAAGCAACAAAAAAACAAAATGCGAATGAATGAAGGGAATTACGACAAAACATCATAAACCCTATAAAAAATAGATAAACGGTTTTTTTCAACGTCGTCGTTGTAGCCGGCATAAGCTATAGTTGAACTTTCTGTCGTTATCTTTTTGTTCGTTTTCTTTTTTTTACATTCTCGGTGGCGTATTACATTCAATAATAACATCGAGTGGAAAAGTAAAGCCGTATAAATCTTCAAAAATATAGATTGTCACTGATAATCGTTGAAATTAATTAAATTATCATCGTGAAACACACAAGCTTCATATAAATAGTTCAAATTCAATTCATTGGATATATAAATAGAAACGGCCAATTTTATGTGATTTTTTTTTGTTCAGTTCGTTGTCAAACGGAAATCTAATTTTACGTTTGTGTTTTATGAGACTTACCTGTAAGGTGCGGCTGGTGGAAAATCGGTGTGTACAGAAATAGGATTTTGAGCGATGCCATTACCATTAAAACCTTTCATTTCGGCAGCATTGTTCATGCCATTGTTGTACTGATTCATTTGCATTGGATGCGGAGGTTTAGTCACGTAATTGACTTGTGGCGGCATATTTGCTGCTGCATTATGATATGGTTGCATTTGTGGTTGATTCATGTTTGGCTGCATATTTAAATTTGACATTGGAATTTGTGATGGTTCTTCGGGCACCGATGGCGGTACATTGGCCGAACGACGTTGTACCCGTGGTGGACTGGAGCTTCGCAATGAATTCGATCTGGCCACATGCGATGTTTTCGGCAATTGGATACCATTTGCAGCTACAGCTGTTGCTGTACTATTGCTGAGCGTTGATTTCATTGAGACAGTATCATCCATATTTGCATTTGGCTTGTGAAAATGTGGGCGTACAATTGTTTTTAAATCCAAAATTTCGGTCTGTGTGATTTCCGATGGGTCGACGAGTGGTAAAGGTCGATTTGTTGACTTTAAAATTTGATTGTTGCCAACGATTGATGCCCATTGTAATGGAAGACCAACATATCTACCTTCACGTTTATCGAAACCAGTATGAACACGATGCTCAAAATTGCTTGGCATCGATATTTGTGGCTTTTTCTTCTTTTTTGAAAACATTTTTGTGGATTTTTTTTGCTGTTGCTTTTATGTCTATTCAAAGACTTTTGCTTTTATCGCTGATGATTTATCTAAATGATGCACGAGCGCAGTTTCACTTTAATTTATTGCGAACGATTTGTCTGAAATCGATGTTTCACACACATAAAAATAATCACATCAATATCATATAGATAGATGGTTTTTTTATTTCCCAGCCAATTTCTTCTCGTCTTCTTCGATGATGTGCGTAAATTTCACATGCGATTTTATAGTTTATGGTTTATATGAGCGACTTTTATTACAATCGAATACTTTCTCGGTGAGAGTCGTACGGCAATTATCGACAGCAGCACATATTTCTCTTTTCACATTCCATCACTTTGTAAAATGACTTGTTTTTATTATTATTATATTTTTTCTGTGTTATTTTTTTGTTCACAATAAAGTAAAATTGATTGTTTTAACGATCAGTCTGGAGTGTAAAAAATTATAAATGTTCATCCGCGCTCACATAAAATGTGAAAACAGCTGGAATTTGCAGTAGATCAACAGATTAAATTACAATATCACTTGTTATTTTCATGTAATTCTCAAACGTATTTAGTTGAAAATTGTAATACTCGGAACAAAGGAATGTTGATTTAACTTTTGTTTTGCATCGCTTTTTATCTGTTCTTCATTTTACATGTATGAAATGCACTTTCTGGACAATGTATTTGGACGGTGTCACGCAAATAAATGACGAATGAAAACAAAAAATGATATAATTTTATATGATTCAGTTTTTTTGTGTGTGTTTTATTTCTGTTTCTGATGTTTAGCCGTAATTCATTCGAAACTATGCGTAACATTTACACGATGAGCAAGTGGCAAATGGCAAACGCACACACAACAACACGAAAAAAAAAACTCAACATGAATTGCAAACACTTGGTGGCTACGATTCGATCAAACAGTCCAAAGAGCGACTCACCACACTATACAACGTGAGTTTCCAATTACATTTTACTTAACTTGCGTTTTTTTCATTTGTTTATTTGAATTTCTATGGTTTTTTTTTCTTCTGTTTCAATTATTCATTGCTGTTGTTGGTGCATTCACTTATACAGGCTTCAGCCATGGAATATTTCCACGCTTGCTTCTTTTCGTATGTGTTCACTGTTATATATTTCAAGATAAAGAAAAACCATTTGAATATCGTATTCACTGTGCGGTACAAACTAGCGCCTGCTCATTTTTATCTTTCACTTTAATTCATTGAAATCATCAGCTTTTGGCCGATACGAAGCAAAAAAAAAAAAATGACTGAATTTATCGAACACAGAACAAAATAGCGCACGAACACACCGAAATACGTATTCAGAATACGAAAAGAATACGGTTGCTAATAAATAATATGCACGTTCCGAAGAATCTTGTTGCTTGACAAACAAACCACATACCAATGCGACTCGTCACTATGTGCTAGGTGGTGTTGTTGTTGTTGTTGCTGCTATTTCAAGTCTGTTCACTGAAGAAACCAACAAACGAAATTGCCAAACATGAATAGTTTTCTTCACTTCAACTGTTTCATTAATATATTTTCATTTGCATTCATCGGATGCATTTATTAATTGAATTTTTTTTCTTGATTGTTTGTTTATTATTCTTTTATTCAGTTGAATGGCAAATTAAATGCGGTCTCAATCGTTGTTTGTCAATTCACTGATCAGTGTTTTTTTCTTTTCTTTTCTCGTTTCACTTTTTATACGATTTTGTTTACATAAAAAATCACATTCGACATTAAAATCGTCATTCGTCACAATCGCAATAATAAATAAACAAATTAAAACTGTTTCGAATAAATCGTCAATAAATTGATCAAAATTGTACAAATGCCATGATCAGTTAAGCGTTGGCTATATAAAAACAAAAGGAAAACCACCCAAATGAAGGAGTAACAAGAATTAACCTGCGATGCACACACTTCAAATCACCATTTTTAATTTATGTACGTGTACGTCCGACATCGAAAGTGGCGACTACGAACTGAGAATGCAGAAAGAACAACGAAATATTGACTTAGACACAACCACCACACTGTTGTTACACCGTATGTACGCGATCAGTCGGCATGAGAGCAACGAGAGAGAGTGAATGTGTGAGTCAAAGAGGGAGAGAGAGAGTGTGTGTGAGAGAGCAACGGTTATGGTTTGTTGCGCATTTATGTGTGCGGGAATTTTCTATTTTGTTTTATCGACCAGCGCTATACAGCGGTAACTCTGTGTACCTGCGAAGGTATGCAACAGTTTCGCTCTTGTTGTCGCTGTGCAACGGACTGAATACTTTTAGCATGGGCAATCCTGTCACAAATTCTAATCGAGAACCAACTTCACTCCGATACAATACATACAAAGTGACATGTCACTGCAATGATTTTTCTTGTTTGAATTTTTATTACACAATTTTATTACAACTTTCATTTTTCGTACAAATACGGAACTCTTTTTCTTTTAATAAAAAAAATAAATCGGTTTTTATCGTGTTGGATCAAATAATTTCCACCAATCAGCAAATTGTTTGACCTTTGGTATTGGATTGTGAATTTTGCGCGGTCGTCTCCATAATCTAGCGTCGAGATTCAATAAACCGCCAATGATTTCCTGAAATTAAAACGAATATTTTGTTTTGTTAAATTTTTTGAATTTTCCATTAAGCATTTTGTTTCATAAATTTTTCAAAAATTTAAATTTGTTTACCTGTGCAAAATTGTTTGGAAATTGTTCTTGATCTTCAATGACGTGTGCAAAACCGCTGTCCATACCAAAATTCACCCAGAAATACGGTAATCCTTTGGGTATGGCTCTTCGAACATCGCGATCTTTTAGGCTGACCAATTGTTTATTTGTCGACCATTCAGCTTCCGACTCCTGTATCGCTTTCTTAAAATAGAACGGCGCCATTTCGAATTCATTGCTCGGCACACAATGAATGACCATGTGTGGCCGTCGATGTAGATATCGTACAGTTTCAAAGAATATCACATCTTGTTTACGTGAGCTAAACATTCGATTCAATGCAGTCATTAGCTCTCTTATTTCTTGCCACACATCATCTTCCAGCTGTGTTGAGCACGCAACATGTGCCAATGGTGCTATCAGACAGTGGCCTGATGTCAAACCTTCATGCCATGGTAATGATAAATAAACATTTTTCCCTAGCGAGACAATCAATTGTTTTTCCAATTTTGCTGAATCGAAACATTTGTCACAAGCATTCAGCGTACGCTCCATCTCTTGATGCTCCCGAATGGCACGATCACGTTCCTTTTTATCCACATCGTGCTCACTAATATTTTTACGCACTTTATCTGCAAAAATGTCCTCCAAGTCGTCATTAGGGTTTTTATGTTTACCGGCAATATTTGCAAATTGCATATCTTGATCGGCAGCCGATGTGAATTTCTCGGACTCAAACTAAAAAAAACGAAAATGATTGAAATAATGTTGTTGACTCATATAAAATGAAAATACATACCATTTGTTTGATGTCATATCTGTCATCGTCGGCAAAGTATCTAACCCGTTCACCGTCTGCATGTGTTTCAACTTTTTGTTTCTTTACTTTACGACCGGCTCTACCGCCCCACAAATCACTATCGTCTCGGAATTTCGCAACTGGTCGACTCATTCCCTTGCTATTTGTTGTCGATAATACCACGGAGTCTTCTTTGTCTTGTTTCTTTTGAGCACCACCAGCACGACGCTCAAATGACTTGGCCATAACTTCACTTTTATGCTCTGTTCGATACTTTCGCGCTCTATCAAGCTTTTCTTTGAGCTCATTTGCCAATTCATCGTTGCCCATAATCTCTGCTTTAACTAGTTTTGCCCCCAATTCATTCATTTGTTGGTCGGTTAAAAAGTCTTGTCGTGAAGCCTGTGGTTTGCTTGGTTCACTTGCCGGTGCCGGTGAAGGTGATCTGCTTGCATCTGACGATGATGAACTGGATGAACTTCGTCTTTGTGGCTCTCTTCTTGGTGCACGATCTTGTGTTGTTGTCGATGTCGATGGTTCGGTTTTCTTCTTCCAATTTGATTGTCGTTCTCTGTGGTTCGGCTTCGATTGATATACACGTCTCTGGTCTTGTTCGTCATCATCGGATTCATATTTTGGTTTTGCAAATGCTTTAGGTAAACCATCACCGCCATCTTTCCAATATGGATTTAGTTCGCGTGCACATTTTCCGGGTTCGTAAGCATCAATACCTTTTCGCTCGTCTTTTTTACGTTCTTCTTTACTTTTTGAAAATGTTGGAATGGAAGAAAATCCACTGAGCCAATCGTCACGTTGCAATGGAGCTGCCACTTTTTTCTCTTCTGCGTGTTGACTGTGATTTTCATCATGCTTGTCTTTTTCGACCCATGATTCTTCATCACTCTCACTATCCGATGAACTTGATGAACTGGCATCGCTAAAATGCTTTCGTTTCTGTTTTCGTTTTGAAATTCGTCCTTCTTCTTCCGAACTATTATCAGATTCACCTGACGATGAATATTTGCGTTTCTTACTTTTCTTTTTCTCCTTTTTGTTTTTCTTCGATGATTTTTTTGCCTTTTTCGATTTTTTTGACTTCTTCTCCTTCTTTCTACTACTAGAAGTTTCAGTTGATTGTTCGTCTATTTTTTTTGATACCGACGGCAATATCCATTGATCTTCACCGCGAAATTTTTTCTGAAGCTCTTTTTCATCCCGGCGTTTTGCATTCTCTTCAGCCTGGAGTGGATGAAAAACATTTTTCAATCAAATTTTGAACATTTGGAAATTATTGTCTAAATATTTTACCCGTTTCAAAAGTTCTGCCCGGACTTCACGAAGTTCCTGACGCGCCTTTTCCTTTTCCCAACCACTTTCAAACTCAATAAACGACATTGTAAATAAATATACGTTTTACTTTCGTTGATTCAGTTTATTATTTAGCTTTTGGTTTGAGAACAAATGAATGTGACAACCGTTTTGACAGTCTACTCTTGTCAATGCCCCTATTGGTAAAATTTATGCATTTCACTCAATATTTTCAAACAAATGGCTTTATAATATATTCTAAAGAAATTTGGTTCAACGTAATATTTTTATTTCATTTCATTCAGCAATGTATCTTTTGAAATTAGAAAAGTAAAAAACTGTTGTAGTACAACAACCATATTTCATTTTTATCCATATTGAATTTGAATTTTAGAAATGTGTTCTTATTGTAGGAGTTGTTATGTGATATCTTGCATCGCCAATAAAAAGCATATTCATTTTGATATGATTAAACATGAAAAAGACTGGAACTTTGTAAATGGTCATTTTGCCAATTTTAGAATTCTCTTGAGAAAAACTTTCAAAGTAGATCGATGGTGCAGCGCCATCTATTGGTCGCTATCCGATTTAAAAGAAAAAAATGAGGAGCAAATCAATCTGAAACATAAAAATTCTCCCGTAGATGATAATATAATTAGATAATTAGTAATCTAAACGATTTACAGAATTGTATCGGTCAAATTAATTTTTTTCGAATATAGTAAATGAATTGTGTTAATTTCGTGCGTGCCGTTTGAATGGCAATGATGCGTTGTTAGAACCATGTATTGATTTTGTAATGGATAGCATATGCGTTGTATTGCGTTATTGTGTGAGCGTATCAACTGGCCCAAACATAAGCCAAATTCAATGCATGCATGTATTAGAAAATGCGTGCGTTATGCTTGGTATAGAATACAACAGCTGTACCCATGATGCTCTTCTTTCGATGTAGGTGTGTTGGTTTGTTCTGTGTCCAATGACAGATAACAATACTTTTCTATGCCAATTTTTCCATCAAACAAAAACATGTACATCTGAAAGTTCTTCGAGTTGGAATTCGATAAAAAAATTTCATAAATTCCACCCTCAAAAGAATCACATTTTGAAATATTCATTTTAGTGGGTTTATTCGCTGGCCAACATCTCTCGGGTATTGTTGTGCCAATTTCTTTTTTAAACAAAAAAAAAACCTATTCAAGTGTAAACAAGAAATGGAGACAACTGGCTTAAATTTTGCAAAACCAAAGCTCAACGGGACCACAATCATTGCTCTAATTTTGATGGGAAACTTTTATGGTATGTAAAAAAGTGGGTGATAATAACAGTTGGTTGTGATTATAATTTGTTAGTGGCGAGCACATTAGAAGTTTGCGCATTTTTTACATTGAAAAAAATCAATTAAAATATATAAATTTCTTTTTTTTTTCGAGTTAATCAGTGAAAAAAGTTGCGTGACTTGTTAGAATTGACAATAATCAACATAAAAATATAAAAATTAATAATTTTATATTATTTTTAATATGTAGGTTCCAGTGGACTACAAACATCAAGCCAGATGGCTGAATGTCATGATATGCATGGGCAAAGAATAGAAAATGGCCATCATTTCGTTCCAGGGCCTGATATTTGCAGGTATGCATACAAAACTGAATTATTTAACAGCAATTAATGAAATTTATGCATTTTTTGGACATTTTTACTGTGCGAGATTTTTCTAACATTTTCTTTCAACTAAAATGTCATTCCAGATTATGTATATGTGACAATGGTCATACAAAAGGATGCAAAGCTGTCCTTTGTACGCCACCTCAAGCATGCAAATCATTTCAAATTGGGAATTCATGTTGCGAGTTTATTTGCCTGGATGACGCGTTGTCCGGGAATGTTGATAAAACACCTGACTTTGGCATATGACTAATCGCGAGTGGCGTCACTGCCACTCTATCATTAACGCTACTGTTTTTGATTGTAAATCGTTTTCGGCAACGAAAAATTCGCGTGAGTGCAAATCGACAGAATCACGAAGAACAACGCACTAGCATTGGATTTATTATGAACAATGGCAATTATATGAATAATACCAACGCCTACGATCCGCACTTGAGTCAATATCATCCCTCATGGCATCCCAAAGATAATCCATATTTTCCAAGAGGCGAGGCACCCCCACCTTATGACGAAGTCTGCGCTCAAACCGATACTTTAAATGCCCAATGCACCGTTAGGTATGTAATTTCAATAACTCTATAGGCGTCCATTTTCAAGTGTTTAATACCTTTTTGATTCAGACCGTTGGCGTGATAATCTTGTTATTTTTATTTTTCAATTTTCCGTGAAACCTATAATTATATGTTGTATCGAATGATTTCACAATGGCTTAAGTAATTTCATTCAATATCTAGAAAATAAAATTAATTTACGTTTTTTTTATTTGTTTAGTGTGGCCACAACGCATACAGCACCGATCTCAACTGGAACTACTACAATGCTGGAAAGTTCATTCGATGTTCAACCAAATGCCACCAATACGACCAATTTGATTAACATCAATATTAGTAATTCGGGAAATATAACGGCCGTCGCTGCTGGCGAGAATCATCAAATTAACAAATGTTACAGTACAATCGCACCGAATGCACAGCTTAGACTTCAACAAGCAGCTCAACCACGATCTCCACAATATTCATCGCTACCAATAACACTCAATCAATGTCCGGAAATTCAACAACAGCAGCAACATCCGCAGCCACAGCAGCAGCAGCAACAACAACAAAGATCTCCATTGAGTGCAAATATTAATCAAATTGAAGTGTTTGGATCTGATGTGAATGCAATATCAACCATAGCAACAACAAGTGCTGAAACAAATACGGATGCATTATTATGCAACTACAAAAATTGCAATTCAAATACATTGACCAAGCCAAAGAATAAAAACGATGTCGTTTTTCAAACGCCCCAGCATAATCGTGTTAAGAAAAATGGTACGGCCAGTTTGGCACTGATGCGAAACAATACAATTTTACCACCGCCACTATTTGATGAAACATCTTCAATGTCAACCGCAACACTGCCATTGCTACCGAACGATTCGATACGTCAAATGAAATCGAGACGCCATCATCGTACAATACCACGACACTTTACACTAAACGATGCCGCCAATCATTCGAATGGTTTAAATACGGTGACCACAAAAGCAAAGCCAAATGAAGATATGACGAAAACGGAAGCAAATTGTTCGTCCGGAACATCGACATTAAACAATAAAAAATCGGTTTGTCAATGTCCAATTCAACATGTTCCGATGACTTATATGGGTTCGACTTATCTTAATTTAACACGAAATCAACAAACAAACGAAATGCTCTTGAGCACCTTAACGAAAAAATGGCCCAGCCAAAAGTCACACGTTGCAAAATCGGCCTCGTTTACGTCAACGCCTAGCATGACATCGACAAACATTGCCACTTCAACTGTGGCTATTGGATATAATCGTAATTCAGCATCTGGCCTTTTGAGCGCAACAAATCCACTGAAATCGAATGGCAACACGAGCACAGGTGAAACACAAACAAATGCATCGCTTCAATCGAAAGCACCATCGTCGAAAATTTCCACGATCTCAAAGCATATTGGACACAATGAACTGAACATTATTGCACATTCACAAGTACAACAGCAATGCAATGATACAAATGATGTAAAATCAATGCAAGAACTACTGCCGATCAACATAAATAACAACGGAAAAGCGAATAACAATGCAAATCAAACGAACGGAACGAAAAATATAGTGAATTCTGAAAGCGATAACAGTTTAGTTCCCAATTTGAATCCGGTGTTACCACCCAAGCTGTCGAAGGCTCAAATTTTCAATCGTCAAGCTGAATGTGTGTCAACCATATCAAAATCAACCGTTGCCGCAGACTGCATGTCGGGATTGCTATCGAATGGTTTGTCATTGACCAGCGCATCAATTACATCGGGTCATCATCGTACACGTAGCAAATCACCAGCTGCCGATAAAACATATTCAATGGTTACACCATTGAATCTTGGCACTGATCAGAAAATGAACCACATTAAAACCACGTATCCGTGTAATCTGGCTAGCAATCATTTTACGTTGCCGAAATCATCAACAGCAACCAAACCACTATTGAATATGAAAAATCAATCAAATGTGCAAAATTCAAATGTGAATCATACAAATAATTTACAACCAACATTGTTAAACTCAAAATTGCATAGCAGTTCAACGAAAATCAAAAAACTTTCGTCGTCATCGTCGTTGTCACCGTATCCAAACGAAACACACTCGAGACACGAACCACAATCAAATGATAACCCGACCAATTTATCGTTAGATGCGCATCGTATGCGAAAAACTGACACCGATAAACCGTTGCCGGTGTGCACAACATTTACCAATTGCTCAAATCCAAAGGAACATTTTTTGCCAAACGATACCAGCTTGGACGATGATTATTTAAGTGAATGCGAAAATTGTAAATCGGCACACGGATCACGGTATTATCTTGATGAAGAGCATATTGATCAGCCACAAGAAACGATGACACTCCAACGGAAAATGGACGAAAAAGAAAACGATGAACAACCATACTATCGCACGTCATCAACACTGCCTACAAATACAAAACAAAAGACCACGTAAGTATTCTTGCTGCCAATTCACCTTCGAAATCCTCTGTCACTATCTCTCTCTCTAGGATCATAAAGAATCGTGAACCATGGTTTAGCACTATTCCGGGAAGCTCATCATCCGAAGAGGATGTAATCGAATGAGAATTAATTCAATCGTCATTGATCTAAATGTATTTTATTGGATGGTAAAGAGAAATACATGTATTGACTCAAACACGCCAAAGGAAAATCAATACCGAATCGGATTTTATTCCGCATGCTAATTTTAAAATTATCATCAACGTTTAGATAATAGTTGAATTTTATCCAGTGATGGTTTTTTCCTATCTGAATAGCGCTAGCTATTCGCAGCG